TCATAGAAAAATTATAACACTTCTAGATAAAAAAGAGACTCAATCTCTGAACCACCGTAAAGGTTACTTATAATTCATTTGTTTATTTTTGTAGTTAACAAATAATACTTTGAGGTGAAACAGGGTATTTTTCTTTGCCTTTCCTGTTTCTCGAAGAAATGGAGTTTTTTTTTCCACGGTAAGCAGCATGGAGTTAACTGAGGTTAAAGTTTTTTTTTATTTTTGATTTTGACCTGAGGTTAAAGTTAACGCTATGCCATAGAAACAGAGAAACTATGTAGAGAGAGAGAAGGGGAACAGACAATGTGGTGGTATAATAGGACGGTTGGAAATCGATTTTGGGGATTTGCTAATGTTCGTTCAAGTGATACTGTCTTAGGGGAGAGAGAGAGAGAGAGAGAGAGAGAGAGAAGGTTGTAAGAAATGTTGGATAAGGTGGTTTGCTTACTGAGAATTCAAAGCTGAGAGTGGTTTTGTAACTGTTAAGTGAGAGAAAAGAGGAAAGAAACAGCACATCATCGATTACACTCGTTACAAAGAGACTGTTACAAAGTCCAACACTTCTACATGTATGTATACATATCTGTGTATGTATTAAAGCAATGAAAAGGGTTGATTAAATTGTCTGCAATAAATGAAATTGGGCTTTGTTTGGATTATTGATTGTGATGATAAACGGAGTAGGTTGAAGCGCGTGAAACAGAGGTTTTCGTAGAAGGTTTTCTGTTTCTGGGTGTTCCTTCACTCAAAATTTCAGCTTTGGTTTTGGTGGTGACTAAAAATGGCTCGAGTTGACTCTGTCAGAGGCTCTTTGATTTCTCGTACTGAACAACGCCATGAAACAGGTGAGAAAAATCTGGGTTTGTCGAATTATCGGTGTTTTTTTTCTAACAAATGTTGCATCTTCACCTTTTGTTTGGTTTTTGAGAAAGTCGGAGAAATGAAAACCTTGAAAGTTTGAATTTTTTCTGTGATTTCGGTTCACCCATGCTTTGTTTTCTGTCTTTCTTTCTTTTTTCTTTCAGTTTCCCGGCAACCAAACAGATCAGGTTATAAGTTGATAGGTGTTGTTTTCGTGGATTTCTGTGTTATGTAGAAACATGTCGCAACTAGACCCTCTGTTTGATTGCCGAGAATGTTGAGGAGAAGAAAAGGGAAAGTAAAAGCTTGAAAGTTCACATTTTCTATATTATTTCCAGTTGTTTTTCTTCATTTTCCTTCGCTTTTGGAAAATCCCAGCACAGCAGAGCACATGCCGTGAACCATTTTTATTTTAATTGTGTTTTCCTTTTTTTCCTTGATTGATTCGTGTGTTCAGGCACGGGAAACGATGATCTTTATACAGAGCTATGGAGGGCATGTGCAGGACCTATAGTTGATGTACCTCGTCCCTCCGAGAGAGTTTATTACTTCCCTCAAGGTCACATGGAACAAGTATGCTTTCTCTCTCTCTCTAAAAACTATAATTTCTCACCCTACAATTTCCATTTTGATTTTGGGTCATGTATTTTTGTGTTTTTGTAGTTAGAGGCATCAACTAATCAGGAACTGACTCAACAAATCCCACTGTTTAATCTTCCATCTAAGATCCTTTGTCGTGTTGTTCATATTCGGCTTCTGGTATTCACATATCTGAATTCTGATGTTTAGTTCCTAAATTTGGTTTTGCTTCATCTGATTTTGAAGAAAATGGTATGTTTATTTGTATTTGTTTTGGTCCATTTAATAGGCAGAACCAGAAACAGATGAAGTCTATGCTCAGATCACTTTACATCCGGAAGAAGATGTAAGTAGTTTTACTATTAAAATTTTATTTTGAAACGCCCAAAACGTTTAGGGTTTCAAGGAGACCAAAACGAATCAACGATGTAATCGAAATTCTAATATTTTACGATGATTCATAATATTTCATAATGTTTTGAAGTATTTTATAATATTTCAATACAATTGCGCAATTGTTTTAGAATGTTTCACAGTATTTTGTTATATTTCAGTCAATGCTTTAAAAAAATAATTCTTAATTTTTTTATTTTTTTAATTCTATTTGTCGAAACGTTTCCGTTTCCGTTTCCGTTTCCTAGGTGACTGAAATGAAATTTTGATCCTTGCGGTGCTGCTGTTATTGTTATTCTTTGTAACAATATATATTTCTTTGGAAACCCTTTTTATTTTGGGAGCAGTGGTTTTATGTGGTCTGGTCTAGAGACTAAGCCTCAGACGAAAGCAAATAGTGTTGTTATAATTGCTCTATTGTTTCCTTTTTAGGCCCCTAATTGGGAATATCCTGGGTTAATATGCTACATTTTTATATGTTTTGTGTTGATATTTTTTGCAGCAAACTGAGCCCAGTAGTCCTGATCCATGTCCTCTTGATAAACCAAAGCAACCTGTTAACTCATTTTGTAAGATTTTAACGGCTTCTGACACAAGCACCCATGGAGGGTTTTCTGTTCTCCGGAAGCACGCCAATGAATGCCTTCCTCCATTGGTAAGTCTTCTTGTTTTCACTACTCTGTCTGGTTACATATAAAAGTGAGCTGAAGGGAGAAAATATAATCTAACTGTTTATGTTATAGGAACAGATCACCTCATTAGATCAAATAATTGTATATGCCATGGCTCAAAGTCAGATTTGTATTGCTTTCCTACTCATTTTTTTATGTTAAAATGTTTCAAACCAAGTATTAGTGTTGTGACATTTGATTGCTGTTTCTAATCCTCAAGGACCTGGACCAAGCAACCCCAACTCAGGATTTGGTTGCTAAAGATCTTCATGGGTATGAATGGCGATTTAAACATATATTCAGAGGTAAGCCTTTTGGTTTTGAAACTTTCTATTGCGCTCTGCAATGTTTGTTGTTTGATTAAACTGTTTCAGCCTGAACAATCCCCTCCAAAGCCAAAAGTGTGGATATTATAGATGGCATGACTTGAGCCTTTAGTCTGTCTCTTTACATCACTCCTTGTGTTCAGGTCAACCTCGACGACATTTGCTTACAACAGGATGGAGTACATTTGTAACTTCCAAAAGATTAGTTGCAGGGGATGCTTTTGTTTTTTTGAGGTAGACAATCTCGGATTGCTTCACGACTACCTCATGCTATTATTCATGTGGGTCTAGAGGTATGTAAGCAATTAAGTTTTTGATTTACAACTGCTGCTGTGTAGGGATGATAATGGGGAATTACGTGTTGGGGTTCGCCGTCTCATTCGGCAACAAAGCCCCATGCCTCCGTCTATGATATCCAGCCAGAGCATGCATCTTGGAGTTCTGGCTACTGCTTCTCATGCTATAACAACAAATACTCTTTTCATTGTGTACTATAAGCCAAGGTCTCTCTCTCTCTCTCTCTCTCTCTCTCAGAGTTTTGGCTTTGGATTCCTTATGTCGTCTGCTATTCATCAGGACAAGCCAATTTATAATTGGATTGAACAAGTATCTAAAGGCCGTCAGTCATGGATTTTCTGTGGGCGTGCGGTTCAGAATGAGATTTGAAGGAGAAGATTCTCCTGAAAGAAGGTATGTCTTGTGATTTCTTTCTGTTGTTGGGAGCTATTTCTTCAACTTTATTTATGGGGTTTGTCTTGTCAGGTTCACAGGCACTATAGTGGGGGTTGAGGACATCTCCTCACAGTGGTCCAAGTCTAAGTGGCGGTCATTAAAGGTTTGAAATAATTTTGATTCCTACCCAATTATTGATTTCTCTAATTTCTTGTTTCTGATCTTGTTTTCCTCACTAATGCCCTTTCAGATTCAATGGGACGAACCTGCAACCATTCAAAGGCCTGATAGAGTTTCACCGTGGGAGATAGAGCCTTTTGTAGCTTCTGATTTTTCTGACCTTACTCAATCAGTGATAAAGACCAAGAGACCTCGTCCTATTGATCTTCCTCGTGCTGGTATTTAAAACTATGGTGTCTACTTCTAATTAAATCCACTGTCAGTTTGATTTTTTTTTTTTTTTGTCCTTTTGGAATGTAGAACCTACCACCAGTTCAGCTGCTTCACCTTTTTGGTATGCGGGGTCGGCTACATCCCTTGAATTGAGCCACTTAGGTAGTGTTACTGAAGTCCAAAGCAACGTAAATGAAGCTGTCTGTCCTCCCATGCCAAAGGACCTTACTAATCATGTCCCCAGGAGCAGCAGCCGCTGTGGCTCAAGGGCCCATCCTGATGGCATGTGGCCTCCTCCTGCACTTGCAAAAGGTTTGCTAGATCTGTTTCAGGATGCAACAGAAGAGAATAAAAATGTTTCAGCAAGATATCTTCTTTCTGATTATACCTCCCCCATCTCATCAAGGGCAAGCAATTGCCTCATACGCGACCAAGTGGAGAAGGGGAGAAAACCTGAGACTTCCCCAAGTTGTAGGATATTTGGCGTTGATTTGAAAACTAATTCTAGCCACTTTCTGGCACCAGAGAAGAAATTAGTGTCTCAAACCATTGTGCTCAGCAGTGGTATTCAATGTCCCACTTCCTCTGCTGTCTTTGAAGCTGATAGACATCAGAATCCAGACCCTCCAAAGTCCTCGAAAGAAAAGAAGCAAGTTAAATCGGAGTTATTACAGAATGAGATGCAAATCAAGCAGGGTTGCACTACTTCCACTAGAACTCGTACGAAGGTGAAACTCACTGTTTTTGCCAATCTTTTTGATTGCTCAATGGAATTTACATAGACAGTTTCTGATTTAAGTTGGAGTTTTGTTTGTTAAGGTTCAAATGCAAGGGGCTGCAGTTGGTCGAGCTGTTGACTTGACTGTGTTGGAAGGGTATGACGATCTTATAACTGAGCTGGAGAAAATGTTCAAGATTCAGGGAGAGCTTCGTCCCCGGGACAAATGGGAAGTTGTTTACACTGATGATGAGGGGGATATGATGCTTGTTGGTGATGACCCATGGCCGTGAGTGGCTTGCAATTTGTATTCCGAAATGCTATTTCCATTTTTGTCAGCTGTTTTTTCATTCTTTTTTTCAAATATCTTGCAGGGAATTTTGTAGGATGGCGAAGAAGATTTTCATATATTCGAGCGGGGAAGTGAAGAAAATGTCTCCTAATTGCAAGCTTTCTGCGTCATCTTTAGATGGTGATGAAGGGACAATAGTAAGCTTAGATTCTGAGCAAAAATCTGAAGCATGACATTGATCTTTTTTTAGTTTGTCTTCTCTCTTGCTTCTTGTTGTTGGGGGTGTAAGATGTTGGGAAAAAGGGGGGGGGGGGGGGGGGGGATAGTAAGGTTTATTTCTTTGTTATTTGGAACTTGGTTCAGATTTGGCACAAGTAAGATAGATGCACTGGGTGGAAAGAAACTTGGTTAGAATTGGAATTTGGGATTCCTTGTTTGTGAAGCGTTCTGTTTTGATTTACTAGTCTGTTAAAATGTATAAATGCTTGTGTTGCTATGGCAAAAAAATGTTTTTGGGTTGTGTGGATGGATCGTTTGATCATTTTGTCGGGATTTCTGTGGATTGCGTTAGGGAAAATTTACCAAATCGGGTGAAACTTATATTTTTTCAAGAGGAGGCACCAAGGTGTCTCTGGTTTTTTGAACTCGTACTACTTATGGGTTGGGTAGTGATTGCAATTTATCGTCATGTCCAGATTCACTGAATTTTTAATATTGATACTTTTTAAATTATCGTTTAATATTCCATATTTAGCATAAACTGCAATGTTAATCTTATACCATGTTATATTTGAATCAAACATGTGCTTTCAAGGTATTAGGAGTTCTTGTTTTGGGTTAAATGGGATGATGTACGAAATTGAGTTCATGCAAGATCAATTAATGATGAAGTAAAGAGGGTTTCACACAAGCAAATTCAGAAATTAAGTGGTTCGATCTGCGTGATTTTTTTCATTGGGAATGACAACGGTGGCCGAAAAATCTTATTACTTGAGAGTTGTAGTTAGTGTGCTGAAATGATGGTGATGCGTCATCCATGTGTAAGTGGGGTTTATAATTTATAGAGGAGTACAATTTTAATGACGCTCCAGAACAGACTTTGATAAATGCGCTATCGCGGGAAGCTCTAATTACGGTGTTATCTTTGTGATGGTAGTGGGTGGTTCTGTGATATTAGCGTAACGGAAGAGGTAATTGAGATTTGTGATATGTATCTTGATTCTTTTTTTAAGATAGAGATCTCATATTCGTCACTAATAGACTTAGTTTTCTAAGACTATGAGTTTCGTCTTTATTGACTTGTATTTTTTATCTGAACTTGATTACACTTGTGATCTAAACCTGGTCTATATTTTTAAATTGGGTATATGAGCTGAGCTTGGCCTCGGCCGTGCCCATCAATACTTGTGGGTTTAGCACTAGAAGTTCTTGTTTTGGGTTTTTCTCTATTTTTTACGGACATATTTTACTTTATCCCGTGATGAAGCTCTTCTACATGTATATCATCTGTTCAAACTTCGAAGTAATTTGTATATTCACTTGCCACCCAAAAAAAAAAAAAAAAACATTGAAGTAATGATGAAAAGAACTTAATACCAAAATCAATTGAAGCACCATCCGCTTAGTTTTGGATATCGTCTTAAACACCTATATATTAAAGTATAACATAATATATGATTTTAAATTTTGTATAGTTGAGTTCATTTTAAATTTTACATTAAAGTTAATTCAACAGTTAATATTAACTTCTTAAATTTAATAGAAAAAATAAGTCATTTAAGGGTGTATTTGAGATAACTTTTTAAAAGTGTTTCTACGACTTGCAAAATAAAAAAAGTAGTGTTAAGAATAACTTATTTTAATTACTTTTACATAAGTCAAAAATAATTTTATTACTTAAACAAGTAAGTAAATAAAAAAAACACTTATTTAAAATCATTTTTCTATAAAACATATCATCATGACTACTGCTGTCGCTACCCTACCCCCACCATTGTCCCACCACCTTCATCACCATTACCATCGTCATCGCCACCACTTTTGCCACAATCCACTGCCACTAACCACCACCATTGCCCATCGCCACCATCATCATCATTTTATTCTTATATTTATTATTACTATCATCATCATCCCACCACCACCACCCATTACCACAATCCACTATCACCTGTCGTTGCCCTTTACTGTCGCCCCCCACTGTTACCCACACCTACTACCACCATTGCCATTTGTCACCACTCACTGCCACCATCACCCACAAGCACCCGTCATTGCCCATCACCACTATCGTTACCACCCACCACCTTCGCCATCACACAAGATTGTTACTACCACCATTATCATTCAAAATCTTCCACCACTGTCACCGTTGTCACTTATGACTGTCACAATCACTACGATTATCACTGTCTAGTACAACCATTACCGTTTTCACCACCATTATCACCGCTCATTCCCATTATAAACGATGTTTAAATTTATTTCTTTTTTCTTATAATTTTAAGTGTGAATACAAATATGTTTAGGATGGACAATTTTTTTTATTACGCTTTTAGACAATAAATAACCCGTATAATGATGTAACAGGAAATTGACTGGTACGTAACAGTATTTTGTTTTGGACGAATGACACTTTACATGCGGAAAGATTTTTAGATTTTCAATTCAAACCCTGAAAATTAACATTCTCAAATAGCCCCCTGAATCACAAAAAAAAGTAGTAAATATAGTACATTCTGATAGAATTGAGTATGAAATAATATACAAATAATTGAGCATAAACATGGAAAACATGAAGATTTCACAGAAAATTATCAGATAAAGTAACATATTTGTTATTTTGAATCGCATTATAACCTTTTTATTAGATTAATGCCACAATCTAAAAGGTGTCAATTGAAGATCTAAATATATTTCAGGTACAAAGTCTTATTTGCCCTTATGTTTTTCCATAGACCTATGGCTTATTAGTCAGTACTAGACTTACTACCTACTCCATCGCAGGGTTGGTGGCAATCATCTTCCAAAAACTGATGAGTTGATCTGCAAAAAACACCCATGTAGGAGAGGAGATCGAGAGATACGGGAAAAGGAAGGTTTGGCTGTTGTTTATACTGTTGCTATCGAGCACTAAACTTGCATAGCATTTAATTAGGTTAGTTATCAAGGGTTTTTCGATTTATATTATATTCGGTAAATGAAGAAGCTTAAAAGGGTTGTTTGAAGGAAAGAGACTTGGGAACTAAGAATTGAGAAGGCTGTTTGTTTCGTAGCTTTGGTTTAAATTGGTTTGGCTTGGTGTTGAAGAAGCGACGTTGATAGAAAAAGAGAGGAGAGTGGAAGAGAGAAAAAAAAATAATAATACTGAGAAGATAGTGTAGTTTGGTGTTGCTTAAGGAATTGGAAGATTGAAAACTTCGACGCCACAACGTTTCCAAATGGAGAATATCTCTGTGTGCCTATGTGTGTGTATATGAAGTTGACTGCGTCTGTTATTGTTTATGATATTTTCATTACACTCTTTTTTGTTTATGATGTGATAACTTGTAACTGATTCTCCCTTCAATCAAGATATTTTACCCTTACGTTTAAAAATTTAAATTTATTGTTTGACCGTTATGTTTTTGTTGTTTTAGTCACAATTGAGCTATCATGAATATAAAATGATAATAAAGGTTAGTTAGTATTTTTTTTTGCTTAATTTGGTAGACAGATATTTCGATAGATTTTTGGAGAAATGTTTAGAAGATTCTTTTTGGTAAATATATTTTATGAAGTGAATAAAGAAGTAAACTTTGGGACTTATAGACTTTATTTTTTGGCAATTGATAGATCGACAATCCAATTTTGTCTATAAGAGCAAAACTTTGACTGACTGACTCTAGATCTAACTAGACAACTTTGTCCATAATAGAAAAAGAATACGTTACTATACTGATTTTCTTACTTGAGGGTTAAATGGGTGGTTCATGCCATTAAATTTGATTAAATCTGACACAATGGAGAATCTGTGATTAAGAGGTTTATTGTAATTCCAAAAAATAAGAGGGGATGCATTGAAAATGTCAAAAAGTAAAAGGGATGTGGTTATAATTAATTATATCCACAAATAATGCTCGGGAGTATGCATGATATCAACCCAAAAAAAAAAACGCTCCAAGAGCTTGCTTCTTCTTCCCATTTTATCTCCTTCATGTAACACCACATTCCTTCCCCAAATTGCAGAATCTTTTGTGTGTGTGTGTGTGAGAGAGAGAGAGAGAGAGATGGGAATCATGGAACCCGAAGCAGAACTCGAGCATATTTTCTCACCAAAGCTTCCATTGTTTTCAGTCCCTCTCATGCACTCGCCACAGCATTCTGAAATGCTAACGCTGTCACCACCCTACAGCTTGGCTTCTGTTCCATTCCGGTGGGAAGAAGAGCCTGGTAAGCCACGACCCTGCACCACCACCGCCGCCGCCAGAATCATCACCGTCCATCCCAACAAAAATGGAAATAGACCCAAGCGCTTAAAGCTGCCTCCAAGGGTGCTGGCTGGTGCCAAGATTAGTAAGCCCTGCTCTCCCACCACCGTCCTGGACGGTCCTGACGTGGACAAAACTGTATTCTCTTCGACTTCTTTCAGATTTATGACAAAGCTTGAGGGTACTTTTGACAGCAGCAGTTCGAGTCCTGCAGAGACTCAGAGAGAGCAGCTTTGGACAATGGTTCTTCGCAAGAGAAGGAATAAGATGATGAGAGGGTTTCAAAAGAACCGTAAAGTCAAGCATAAAGACGGTACTGGACGCTATTTTACCTATTCATGTTATGGTAAAAAGAAAGTTGACGGAGGTTGCTTTGTCTTTCCATCTTCCATGGATGTAGCAGATTGCAGTGAAGGTAAAAATGGCGGTACAAGGACGAAGATGGCGAGGATTATAGGGAATGGAAAGTTTTCCACTCTCTCTCAGACGAAGGCTCAATTCTGGGCAAGTTCTCTTTTCGTATGCGCTATTCAACATTTCTATTCCATACACAGTGCTAGGCAATACTATCCAAAAGCCCAGGTAAAAAAAAAATTAGGAAAACGTTATTTGAACTTAAAAATTTGACATAATTTGTTGATCTAATGATGTGGTTTCATAGGAACTATTGAATAAATACCAAATTTTAATGTTTGATGAAGCTCACAGTTAATCCAAAAGTTATAGTAAATTAAAGCAGCAAATTAAATCCTAATAACATTGCTCGGTTAAAAAAATTATTGTTTCCTACTTTATCTAAAATTTTTAAAAAAGAAGGACGAAGTGGTTATATTTTAGCATTAATTACCAAATATCCCTTTAAGTTTGGGTCATACCGAAGTTAACTTCATCTCTTGTCAATTTCAACAATTTGTTCTCGTCAAGTTTTTAGTAAAATCAATTACCCCATTTTGGTTCAATTTGACTGTAAAAAAATTGACAAACATTGACCATGTGACCTTTAATTTATTTAAAAACAAATTTACCCTCTTATTAAATGCCTTCAAAAACAATAAACACCGAACAATTATCTCCACCCCCAACCCACTTTCAACCACCAGACACAAATGGCTTATTCTCCTTTTCTCTTTTGGTTTTGGTTAATTGGTGTTTGGTGATGGTGGTTAGGTGGCTGCACGATGACTGAGATTTGGGGGGCGTGGGTTTTTGCAGTTAGTTGATTGCAACATGACCCAATTTAGTTCCATAATTATTGAAATTGAAATGATAGATAGTTGATTGCAACGTGACCCAAATTTGATAGGGTCATTTTGTAATTAACTCTATTTTTTAGGCATCAATACCGACATTTTTTAATTGAACTTACTTTTTTACCTATAATTAATTTTTTTCCATATTGTAACTTGACCTAAAATGAGCGCATGAGACTAAGTGGTAACATCGCTATTATTTTTTAATAACTTTTCTTTATAATACCAAAATTCGATATTTGATAAAGAGACAATAACTAGACTTAAACTCGTCACATGTGATTTGAGATACCAATTGGATATCATCTAGCCCAGAAGGCTGGTGATGAACATGTGACATTTGGGAGGAACAGCCTTTGGCATAAAATTTTCTTGTCATATTTGCAAGTAATTACAAAGGAGCCTAGCTAAAACAACTTCAATTTCATGTTGACTTTCTTAGTCTTTACCTTCTGTTGATATGACAGGAGGGTGTATACCAGGTCTTTAAGAAAGCCATTTCATGGAGTAGAAAATTGAACAAACATGGCCAAGTCCAGGTTTAGCACTATCTCTCTCTCTCTCTCTCTCTGCAAATAAAAAAAGTAGGGTAATGGGTAACGTTACGTTTATCAATTTTTTTTGACTAATGCTATTTGAACATAAAAATTTAACATAATTTGTCGACCTAATAATGTGATTTTATTAGAATCATTAGATTAACACAAAGTCCCAATATTTGATGAGACTCACAATTAATTCAAATGTCAGAGTGAATTAGATTAATAAATTAGATTTCAATAACATTGTTCAATTTTTTTATCAAATTTTCATCTTAAATGATGCGGTACAGTTTCTTCTCGCGAGATAAGTGACTCCCACTAATATTCTATAACAAAAATTGTGTCAGATCTTTTGGTACGGAAGATTTAGTAAAATTTTGTTGCTAAGCATGACATTTTCCAAAAAAAAGTAACAGCTACAAAACCTTTGCTTCTTCTTCCCAATTTTGCCTACTGCATGTAAAACTCCAATCTCTCCCCAAATTGCAGACTCTAAAGAGAAAGAGAGAGATGGGAATCATAGGACAGGTAGCAGAACTCGAGTCTATGTTCTCACCAAAGCTTCCATTGTTCTCAGTCCCACACATGCACTCGCCTGAACACTCTGGGATGCTAACACTATCACCACTCTACAGCTTAGCTTCGGTTCCATTCCTGTGGGAAGAAGAGCCTGGTAAGCCACGTCTATCCACCACCTTCACCAGTGTCCGTCCCAACAAAAGTGGAAATAAACCCAAGTCCTTAAAGCTACCTCCAATGCTGTTGGTTGAGTCCAAGATTGCTAAGACGCCCTCACGCACCACTGTCCTGGACTCTCCTGATGTGGACAGAACTATAATCTCTTCAGCTTCATTCAGAATTACAAGAAAGCTTAAGGGGTCTTTTCACAGTAGTAGTTGGAGTCCTCTTAGATTCTTTGGTTCTCGGGGGCTAAAGAACCCTAAAGTCAAGGGTGAAGATGGTTTTGGAGGTAATTTTTCTTATTTACGTTTGGGTAAAAAGCAAGTTGGTGGAGATCGTGATGATGGTGAGAGTGGCGACGGTGTAAGGATGAAGATGGAGAGGATTATAAGAAATGGAAGCTTTTCCACTCTCTCTCAAGCAAAGTCTCAGTTCTTGGTAAGTTCCCTTCAACGTTGTTGTGTTTTATATTGATTTGCATTTAGGTTTCCATTTCGGCAGCTATATTATTCTTATAATTAATGTTGTTGTATGTTCAAAAGATTTGACGAATGTTCTACAGAATATGTAACCTATTCTTTGGATACATAAGACACCGGAGCATCGGAAAGTGAATGTTGGCCGACATCTTAGAAAACATAGATGAATGTTGGTTTTCTTATTCTCAACCTGTCCTTGATATTACAGGAAGCTATATATGAGGTTTTTGAGATGGCCATTTCATGGAGTAGAAGATTGAACAAAGGCTCGTATAAAACTTCTTCGCTGTTTTGGCGTCGTCAAGTCCACAAATCTGCCAGGGCTCTTCTTTACTATGGGGCCTATGAGCAGTCCCCTTGAAGCTTTTCTATGCATGATAGATAGACTCCGATGTGAATGTCCATTGCTTGATGGATCTTGCCTCTTAAAATTCTATGTATGCTACAGCTCTTATTCTCGTTTCGCCTATGCATTGAATGCTAATCAATCATGTATATATGAATCGAATTATGTTTGCTTGATAGTCGTAGTACTGTGTTGTTTAATAAACGAATACACATTTCTTCTAGTATATCAGAGGAAGCATAGTCATAGAATTACATGTAAAGCTGATAAATTTGGTTAAATACCGTTTGGTAACACAACTTACACTTAGACACGTCAAGAGGAACCAGCATCCAAACATGCACTGATTAGGCTCTAACAAAAGCTTAATTATATTGGTTAACTAGCATGAAATTAAAACCATTCAAGCTCAGATTACAAAAAGGTTGACAACAAGATCTACCATTCATCTTATCCCTGTTTTTTTTTACCTGTCCGGCCATCAACAACAGTTAAGATCAACTACATAAAGTCTTGTCTCATCAATTTTAAGATCGACTACATAAATTATGTTTCCAAAAACATATGATCATTTAATTGAGCTTGTGCTTGTGATCCATTATTTGATTATGTTGGGTTGAGACAGAGAATTCTCAAACTCTTGCTCAAGTGTCGGACCGAGTTGAGAAACGGATTTTATCGGATTAGAATCTGAATATGATTAAAAAATTTAATCTAATTATTGGACAAAATATACTTTTACATTCTATATAACAGCCCTTTAAAATCGGATATCCGATTTAAAATTTGATAAGATAAGAATAAAGTTTGATAGTTTTGCAATTTGAAAATATTATTCTCTATTGGGAGTGAGATTTTCTGCTACACATTTATTTTTTAAATTTTTTTTCGTAAATAACCTATTGTGAATTAAATTGAAACATATTATATAAGTGACTCTCTTCTCTTGCCAATACATTGGAAAAGATTTGGATTCAGCAGATGGTAGTTTGGTTGGAATATGAGAATGCAGTAAGAGAGACGAATGAGGGTGCTGGCGTGGGCAGTTGAGACTTGAGAGCAATGTTAATAGAACCAGACAGGTCATCGCTGCAAAAAGACCAGATTAATGAATTATTGGTTTAACCGTTGGGTCAATTAGTTGGACCGATTATATAATAAAAATATATATATAATAATTATAAAACATAATAAAATATTATCAATTCCCAATCCCACAGTCACAACTCATAATTCACAAAATTTTACAAGTATATAAAAATAAGAGTCATTTCTACACAGATATTGATTCACAAGCCACCAAGTTGGTCAAAAAACACTGCTATAACTATTAATTTTTCTGAAAGAATTTTGGAAAGGATCCATAGTCAGCATATGCAAAAAAACCCAAAGTTATATCTAACTCATATAAAATAAAATTTAAAAGAAAAAAAATTATTTATTCACAAAGAAGCAAATAAAGGCACAAACGCCTTTTCATCACAAAACAAACCCAACAAACATAAATCTCACAATAAAACCCCAACCAAAATCTAGAAACAACAAGAGCAATTCTACGATTCAATCTGCAACTTCAATTTCCAACAAGAACAAATCTGAAACAAGAACAACACCAACAACTTCTCCAACACTATCTTCAATCTGCAACTTCAATTTCCAAACTCCCCCACTACACTGAAAAAATACAACAAATTAGCCCATATCATCAAAAACTACAGCCCTCTTCTTTCGAAGCACAGGTAAGCCCCTGAGATCCTTAGACACAGCAAGTTAACATTACAAGTTGGTCGTCTAAGTGGTGGTTGGTGGCTGATCGCCTGAGTGGTGTCTGGTCGCTGAGCGGTGAAGTGCGAAAAGGGGATTGGTATCTGCGATTGATTTAGGGCAACTGGCCCAAATTTTTATTTTTTTTTTAATATAGCGATTGAATTCCAACCGACCGGGTTTGCCAAACCGTCCGGTTCGCGAGTTAGATCCAAAATCGGCCGGTTCAGCGGTTCCCAAACAATTTGCTTTCTTATGCGGTATAACTCGAGAATCAGACCGTTTTACGTGCCAGTTCAAAATCTAATCGGTTGATCCGGTCCGATTTTAATAACACTGCTTGAGAATGATGGTCTTGCATCCTTTTAGAAAAAATATTAAATATAACGGTGATATCATATCAGTATTGATGACATGATATTATTAACCACTAATAAAATTCTAAATAAATAAAGTGAACTCAACTTAGATAGTTATTAACTTACAGTGATAATTATTTACTTATATAGACATGCAATTATTGATTAGTGTGGAGTTTATTTATTTATATTTGTATATATTATTAATTAATAATATCATACGACAGTATTGATCTAATATCGTCGTTACAATAAAATTTTTTCAGCTTTGTGGATCCTTGAGACTTTTGTCTTAAACGTAGAGGCATCGGTTGGTTGTTTTGGTGAAGTATGCTTGCTTTGAAAGAAAGTTGTTTCGGTGGGCGAAAAAGTTGATTAACTAAAAAGGTTTGACATCCTTTTGACAAAGACGCCTAGGTATGGACGAGCCTTTACATTTGTTGCCATATTTGAACTTTCAAGTACTATGCTTACGTAAAAGTTTTACCTTTCCTTTTCCCTGGTTATGAACTTGACAAATTTTATAGTATCATCATCATCTCTCAGTTGGAAATAAATTAGTACATGTTATAGAAGGCAAGGCAAGGTGACAACTTTTTTAGCTTGAAACTTTTCACCAAACAAAAAAAGTTTGAGATTTTCGAGGCTATTTTTCTTTCTTTTTAAATTCCTCCTTGTGGTATGGCCTAATCTCACTTTATACCCTCAAAAAATATTTAGATTCTTAATTTATACCCTTAAATATTAAATATCTTAATTTGTACTCATAATGTTATGAATTGATAGTAATATAGACCTGACTTAGATTAACGTTCAATTTTTTTCCTATAAATTGAACCAAGTGAGATGCAAGTGCTTCAGACATAATAATGAGGTATGTAAATCGCTGCAAATTTTCACCTACAATCAATTTGCCATTGTTTTGTATATCGAAAATAAAATTTCATTAATCAAATAAAAGCTATTCCTATCATGTGCAACTCACATGACACATCAACCGTCTGTGAATTTATATACATGTCCAAAGAACTTGTAACTCACGTGCTTCAATTTAAGACGAAAAATTGAATAACAGTCTGAACGAGGTTTACACTGTTATCAATTCGTAACATTAAGAATGAAAATTGAGATTTTTAATGTTTGAGAATGTAAATTGAGAATCGAAACATCATTTGGGATGGAGAGTGAGATTAACCCTTGTGCTAACTAGAAGTTCTTCTCTTCGTTGTTGGGTTTTCTACTTCTTTTGCGCGGGTGTTTGTGTTATATTGGGACAAGGGGCTGGTGGTGGTGGTATTAATTAGAAGTTCTTTGTTTGGGGTTCTCTGGTTTTTTGGACATACTTAACTTCACCATGTGATTGTGTTCTTCTATGCACCAGTTCTGTTCTCTTCCGTTGACAAATAAGAGCTATGTTAGAGAGACTTAATTCATTATAATTATTGAATTAGTTGTAAATTCTAATAGTATACAGAGTTCACTTTTAATATTATCAACTATATTCAAATTATTTACAAATAATATTTTTTTG